TATTCCAGGCCTATGGCAGAGAGGTCTCGCCTAGGCCTATGACAGCGGAGAAACATGACAAGGACTTCCGAACAGGACATCCCGGGTCACGAAACCACTTACGAAACACTTCAAGTTGAGCTCAAGCTGTTCAACAATGCAAGGCCTTGACAGAAGAGGAAATCGACGACAAAAGAAGGAATGGAAAGGGAAGAAAAACAAAACGGAATAAAAAGCGAGAGAAAAAAACAGAAAACATAATTAGAAGAAAGATCATTTAATCAACCATACAAAGGGACAAAAAAAGGCAAGAAAAAACAACAACAGAAAAAAAGGAATACAAAGAAATACAAAAAAGAAAAAAAAATGCACACACACACAAAAAGTTCAAGGCTCGCAGACCGAGAACCAACCCGCCGATCCGCCGACCAAATAACCTACAATGACACAAAACCCACATGACACAAAACCCACACGACACAAAACCCACATGACACAAAACCCACACGACGAGATCTACGACCTGCATACACCAAATGGACGTCACTCCTACGCTTCCCTTGAAATCACGAATCCTGTTACGCCGCGGGTTCGCCTTGACTTCGCGCCTGGCGTTACTGAACCTATCCTTTCCCTCGATTTTTTTCGGAAATTAAAAAAAAAAAATTTAAAAATAAAAAACAAAAGATGATGTTGGGGGGGGGGGGCGTGTAGAAGCAAAAGATGAGAGGGGAAATGGGAGGGGGGGGTAAAATAAACTAAAAAAGAGGAGGAAATGGGAGGGGGGGGAGGGAGAAGATTGCATTTTCTTGCTCCTATCATGGTATTAAATCTCTGTTATTTAGGATTGAGAATTTGGGGGTATTTTAAGGGTTAAATTTAGGGTGCGGAGGTTTTAAAACTTCCGAGGGATTTAGGATCTAAGTTTTGATACAAAATTCAGGGATTTTAGAGAAGTTTAGGAATCCAAGGTTCAGTTTTTTAAAGATTTTGTGAAGTTTGGAAATCAAAGTTTCATTTTTTTTTAGGATTTAGTGAAGTTTGGGAATCAAAGTTTCAGGGATTTTAGGATTTAGGGAATCCAAAATATGGGATTTATTGGGCACAATAATCATTAGGATTTATAGGATTCAATAATTAAAAATTCACATGATTAATAATTAGATTTATTTGGAATCTACAGGATTTAAGTTACGGAATTTTAAGATTTCGGACGCAGGAAGACCATCACAAAAAAAGAAAAAGAAAAAAAAATATGGAGTAATCACATAGAGGTTTAATCGAGAAGTAACCAGTTTGGCTGAAAAAAGAGAGACAAAAAAGAAAAGTAAAAATGGAAAGAAAAAAGGAAAGAAGAAAAAAAGGAAAGAAAAAAGAGAAAAAAAGAAAAAAAGGAAAGAAAAAAGAAAAAAAAGGAAGACGGGGAAATGTCATGTCCCGGATGTGCCTCCACGTAGCCTCACGTCGTCCCGTCGTCGCTTCCCTCGGGACAAAGACAAACAGACAGACAGACAGACACACACACACACACTCACACCTATCCTTACAGACAGACGCATTCTCTCTGCCTCTCTGTCTGTCTGTCTCTCTCTCTCTCTCTTTCTCTCTCTGTGTCTCACCCCCCCCCTCTCTCTCTTTCTCTCTCTCTCTCTCTCTCTCTCTCTCTCTCTCTCTCTCTCTCTCTCTCTCTCTCTCTCTCTCTCTCTCTCTCTCTCTCTCTCTCCTCTCTCTCTTCTCTCTCTCTCTCTCTCCTCTCACTCTCACTCTCACTCTCTCCTCTCTCTCTCCTCTCTCTCTCTTTCTCTCTCCTCTCTCTCTCTCTCTCTCCTCTCTCTCTCTCTCTCTCTCTCCTCTCTCTCTCTCTCTCTCTCTCTCCTCTCTCTCTCTCTCTCTCTCTCCTCTCTCTCTCTCTCTCTCTCTCTCTCTCTCTCCTCTCTCTCTCTCTCCTCTCTCTCTGTTTCTGTCTCGGTCTCTCTCTCTCTTTCTGTTTGTCTGTCTCTCTCTCTCTCTCTCACTCTGTGTCTCTCTTTCTCACACACAAAACCCCTGCCAAGTGGTCGTGAGGCAGTCGGCGGCCTCTCATGTCGAAATGGTTCTGCCCGACTTGCCACATCGTCGTCTGTTTCTCATGTCGTCATCGTCATCGCCAGCCGTCCACATCGTGATACTAGTTCGCTTGTTAAATCCACGTCAACACGTCATCGTCATCGTCAGCCTTCCAAGTCATCATCATTGTCAGGCTGTCACGTTTTAATCATCGCAAAACATCAGCCTCAGTCATCATCAGCATCATCCTGTCACGTCCTAAACTCCGTCACCATCAGCCTCTCAAAACGTCACCACCGTCATTACAACACATCACCACCGCCATCATCCTGTCATCACCGTCATCACCATCATCCCTTCACATCATCATCTTCATCACCACCATCATCATCCTATCATCACCTTCATCACCATCATCCTATCACATCCTCATCACCATCACACCAAAATCATCCTCCTGCTTCGCCAACCTACCCCACCCCCCCCCACCTCGCCCTCCCTCCCCCTCCCCCGCCCGCGTTGACCCCCATTACTCCTTCTAAGGCAAACCGCACGCAGCGCCGGCTGACCTCCGTCTGTGCCACGAAGCCCCTGGTCCGAAGGAGGCAGCGGTGGGGGGAGGGGGGGGGGTGGCGTGGCTGCGTCGTGAAACGAAATATCTTCGCGCGACATAATTCTTCGTGTAATTTTTTTTTTCTTCAATTATATTTCGGATTCTTTTTCACTCTTTATTATCATTATTGAAAAATAAACGAAGTTGCAATTCCCTGCTATCCACCTCATTTATCAAGATCATTCTACCTCCTCCTCTCTATACATTCCATCAAAAAATAAATTCCTACATCTTCACTGCTACCACTTTCCAGTGTCGCCTCCATTGCATTAAGAAGAAGAAGAAGAAGAAGAAGAAGAAGAAGAAGAAGGAGAAGAAGAAGAAAAAAGAGGAGAAGGAGAAGAGGAGAAGGAAGAAGAAGAAGAAAAATAGATAAGAGAAGAAGAAAAAGAGAAAGGAAAGGGAGAAGAAGAAGAAGAAGAAGAAGAAGAAAAAGAGAAAGGAAAGGGAGAAGAAGAAGAAGAAGAAGAAGAAGAAGAGGAAAGAGAGGAAAGAAAGGAGGAAGAATAAGAAGAAGAGGAAGAAAAAGAGAAAGGAGAAGAAGCAGAAGCAGAAAAAGAAACCGTAGCGCTCCCCCAATCCAAACTTACTTGTAATGACTGTGATGGCGACCATGGCCCGAACACAACCCCCGCAGCACAAACGCACAAAACAAAAGCAAAAA